TATGTATATAAAAATAATTAAAAGTTTATGCCTTTGAACTTATTAATTATTCCATTCCCACCAGTTGGGCACTTAAAAATGCCAATGTCAAGATTTATAGTATTACCCACAGACCACATGGTATTACCCTAAACAGGCTATCTTTTATTTTGTAAAGGTGTGGAGTGTTTTAATTAAGATTCAATGAATTTAAATGTATTTTCAACTTTGTGACTTTTTATCAAATTATATGTTATAACTATTATCAATACCTATGTATACTGGATCAATAGTTAAACTATTATGTTATGATATCACAGATATACGAAATTTATACGTCTGTAGGATTTACTATAAGATAACCGACATTGTATCTGATCTCTGAAACCTGATATCATTTTTTCATTAACTTATTTCTTCCTAGCTAAATTGTTCAATGCTTTTGTGCAAATTGCTTTTTCCTCGTATTTCTTTTTTCATTTGGTTTATGAAAATTATAAATTTGCTTTAAATTACAATATATACTATCTATTTGAGAGCTACCCATCTATACCTGTACCATACACTCTCAAGGCATTTAAGATATAATGGCAACAGATAACAACGTATTTGTGATATTAAGAATACTTCCTAAGTTTGGCAAATGTCTATAAAAAACGGTTACCACTTTACGTTCAGCTGTGTCTATATTGACCGATTTATGAATATTAAACATTTAAACTTATATAAAAAAGGTGTAGAACTAAAATTATATGTAAGATGTATCTAACCTACTCAGTTATGTTAATCACAGTACTTAGACACTGAAAGCCATTTTGTGCACGTAATACAAGTATTAGCAATTTTATCCTTCCTTATTAAGCTGGCAAAAGCTGGTTTAGGTTGAAAATTAATTTAAATAAAAACAATATTATATTGTCTAAATAACATAATAATTAAAATTTTGTCCCTTTGACGTTACAATTATTCCATGCGAAGACTGCCCAGGAGTGGGGCACAAAGTGACAAATTCATGGTTTCTGTGTTTATTTATTGTATTTGCCCTTAACAGGCTATGTTTATAAAAATCTGAAAATGTTGAAACTAAGTTATTAATTTTTTAAAGGTATAGGGTGCTTTTAAAAACTACATGACAAATACCACTGAAGTTGAAAAGGAAAACTTCCTCAATCGTATGTAGGCGTGAATCATTATCGTGCGTGACCTAGGACGAATAAACCACATGACAGAAAGTGAGTCCGGGACATTATTTCCTTTATTGTGTAGTTATATAATTTCTTATCTACGGGTCAAGCCTTATGCAGCGGTGTATATATATTTCATTTCATATTCACGTCATAAGTCAGCTACTGATAATAGCCGCGCGTATTATTGACATTACGTACCCCCAGTGGAGCAGATACGACAAAATAATAACAAATATATAAAGGGTCAGTACCAAACCTTGATAAGAAATGAAATGATGTAAATCTGTCACGTGATTTCGTAAATAAGTACAAATAGATAATTTTCTTTTAAATTTCCCAGCCTTCGTATAAAAATTATATGACAATACGTAGTATATTAATTTTGAGATCCTCTTAGTATCACTTCAGGGTTATCAAAATATAGCGTAAGATTACTAAAACAATACAGCACCTATTTATGTTTATGAGAAAACTTTGTGGATATTGTGATATTTTATTTAACCGAAAGTGACCTTAAGATTATCATCTATTTATAATTTAGAATAGTTCAGAACAAAAACAATGTCTCGATTATAACAGCAGTGTTTTAAAAGTCTTTGGTAAGTTAGAAATTGTCATTACACTGTAACTGACACCGTATAAAAACGTAATTATCACTCCATATCACTCCTTGTCAAGGATGATAAAAGTTACAACTGTATGTTAATTACAAATATCAACTTTTCGCTTAGTCTCAAATTCTAAAGTCATAGTTTCGGTGAGCTGACTTTTCGGATTTTGACGATTGACTGACATTTCTGCACTTTATAAAAAACAAGTTACGGTTTACGTTAAAGTTATGTAGTGACATTACACATTTGAATTATTGCGTGTTTTTTAAAAAAACATCTATAATCAATTAAAAGTTTACCTTAGTAGTTAAGGCGATGAGGTGCCCAAAATCGCTTAAATATGGTGTTTTTGTGTAAGTTTTTAGGCGATAACATAGCACGTGGAACTTTGAAAATAGTAGAATATTGCTTATTGTCTTAGGTAATACAAAAACTGGATTACAGAGAGACTTGTGGTTATTTTTTGAAATATTTTTCTCGGGCAAACCAAACTTGCTTACTACCAAATTTGGTGTGGTTATTTAAATGGTACTTATCTTGATCCTAACACTTTATTTGTTTTAAATAAAAGACTACTAAAGTATGAGCTAAATATTTGCTTGCAAATTATGGACAGGCACTTAACAGTGTGAAAAAATATCATACACAAAAAATACGTAAATAAGTAAATATAATGCACCAATTCGTTGAAATCAAAACAAAATATTTTAAAAAAAGTCAAATTTTTTACCATTAAGTGAGAATAAAAAAATATATTTTTGGTTGGATTAGAACCTAAAACACAAAGTATTCAAAACAAAAATGAAATTATTATTTGCGTCCTTGATTATTTAGTAAAATTGCAACGTTGAAAACTTCTGCTGCGTAGCTTGCGTTCGTGGGATACGTTGCCAGATCTCTGTTTTGACATGGTTTTGACAAATTAATTTATATTGTATTGTAATCGGCTGTCTACCGTCGAGCACGATACTTACGAGATATGTAGTTGGACATAGTTATGCAAACTATAACCAACCTACAAAATTTTCGAGATAATTAGATTTTAGTAAAAACGGTGTGAAGAAATAAATAGGTAAGGTATTTGAGACTAGAGATGCGCCGAGTACTCGTTTGCTACTCGGTACTCGGTGTACTCGGCCGAATAACTCGGTTTATGAGAAGAGTACTCGGTTAAAATGAAGCATCACAGCTATAGACGTAATAAAGTAAAATCAACAATATATTTAAGACTTTCAAAAGAGATTATTACCAGAAATTGCAGACAATTGTAACAATTTCTAGGAATTTAGTAATTTAAAAAGAAAGTTTACATTTTTTTTTTTTTTTAATAATACACACTCAACATAGCCCCGCACTAGGGAAACCCTGTGTTGCGGGTGCCATGGACACACATATAGACAACCACAGTTTACATCCAAACTCACGAGAGAAACAAATGTAGGTCATACAAATATTTCTCCCGGCCCGGGAATCGAACCTGGGACCTCTGCGTGGCAATCCGGCATGGTAACCGTTCGGCCACAGAGGCAGTTTTAACAGAGACATTATTAATATTTAAAATTTAACAATGGCAAGTTATGATGTAGGAATATTTACAAGGCTTTCTGCGCGTTCAGGTAATAGTATGTTCCTTTTTTCTTCATACACATTACCCGCTTCGGCAAATAACCACTCGCTATACACAGTGCTTGTGCACATAAAAGTGCACATAAAAACACTCGTGCGAACTGTGCCAGTTTTGGATATTTTGTTTTATGCTCTGCCCACCATTGGAAAGGACTCTGCTCTCGCGACAATACACTTTCATTGACATATCGGCCTAATTCTAGAGCAACGGGGGCTATTAGGATCATCGCGTTCCGGTTGTAATGAACCGAGTAACTCGGACGAGTACTCGGCTCGGCAAATGTTAAACCGAGTAATATTCGGTACTCGGTTACTCGGCAAAATTTGTACTCGGCGCATCTCTATTAGAGACAAACTATATACTGTAGCAGTGAGAACGACTGTAGCAGTGAGAAGCATAGGGAAACTTTTACATTATGTAGCAATAAATAGAAAACATTATGTATCTTTTTATTTAGTTAACGAGAACCATGTTCTAGATTTCGTAATGAAAGCGCCAAAGATCTACAGTACTTCAGTACATGTGACGTGGATCCGTTTAACATATTTTAAAAAAGACATTATATGAAGTTAAGCAGCAAGGTTCTTTTTAGCTATTTAAAAGTTACTTATTTAGGGTTGGTACCCTGAAGGACTTTTATTTTACTCCGTTTTGGCTTAGTATGTTGCCAGCATCTTTTGTGAGCGGGTAAAGGACACGTCTGGTGTTCTACCTAAATACATAACTCAATTTCACTCGAGGTGTGGGTTGTTTCTTGTTTGCATAACATATCCAGTTCTTATATGCTTTGATATTTTTTGGTTTGATAGCATGTGTGTATTTTAAGTACAACGCCATCTGTTAGCGGCAACCAATATTATGTTAAATCAAGCGGAAGGTCCAACTATCACACTCTTACCGCATCGGGGCGTATGGCGCCACCTTATGGGAGAAATTATAGTAGGCGCGTTATCGTTCAAGGTCATCGACGAAAGGTCATCGACTCTTGTCAGCGTCTTAAGATATATATTAATAGTTAAAATCACTTCAAATTCTTAGAATAATAACGCATAGAAACCTAGTCCGCACACGCTAAGTGAGGCAAATTGAAGCGCTCCCAAAGGGCCTACGAGCGGGCGGGCCGTCAGTGCTCAAGGTCAACTTGCACCGCGAACAGCTCAAGAATTTTAGCTAAAAATGACGAAATGTGCGGTAAATGAGTGTAAAAATACGTCAGACAAACATAAAATAGATACTAACATCACATTCCACAAGGAAGTAACGCGTTTCAATTTGTATTCTTATATAAATATTCACTAAAACCGAAAATTAATCTACTACTAAAACTAGCCTACATGAATTTGATTTTTCCCTCACTTGTGACAGTTCGTTTGATATGAAACTATCATTCTATGCTTTGTTATTCTAAGTTCTAATATTAATATTTTAAATGTTGTTTTACCGAAATAAAGCGCCTTTCAATATGTTATTTAATATATTTTTCCTAGAATTATTCCATAGTATATATACACACACATATATACATAGTTTAAACTGTATGAAACCATATGTACTGTAGAATTTCCATACAAGGTTTGAATTATATTTCATTACTTGTTTCAGAATTACCACAATGTCGAAAATCAAGGCTGGACCGGTCGTTGACATCTTGGGAGATGAGATGACCAGAATAATCTGGGATCTAATTAAGGAAAAACTCATCTTACCCTTCTTGGATATTGAATTACATGTTTACGATTTAGGCATTGAGAACCGAGACAAGACCAATGATCAAGTGACTATAGATTGCGCCAACGCCGTCAAGAAATACAATGTCGGAATCAAGTGTGCCACCATTACGCCTGATGAAGTTAGAGTTGAAGAATTCAAGCTGAAGCAAATGTGGAGAAGCCCCAACGGCACTATTCGTAACATTCTTGGTGGCACAGTATTCAGGGAGGCTATTATCTGTAAAAACATTCCTCGTCTGGTGACCTGTTGGGAAAAACCAATCGTTATTGGTCGTCACGCACATGGCGACCAGTACAAGGCGACTGACTTCGTTGTACCTGGAGAAGGTAAACTTGAACTGATCTTTACCCCTGCTAAGGGAGAACCCATTAGACAAGTAGTTAACCAGTTTAAAGGAGCTGGTGTTGCTCTTGGTATGTACAATACTGATGAGTCCATTATTGATTTTGCCCACTCTTCCTTCAAATATGCTCTGGATAGGAAGTATCCTTTGTACCTGAGCACGAAGAACACCATTCTTAAGAAATACGACGGCCGCTTCAAGGACATTTTCCAAGAAATCTATGTGAAGCAATACAAGGCGCAGTACGAGGCTGCGGGAATTTGGTACGAGCACAGACTTATCGATGACATGGTCGCGTATGCTATGAAATCTGAAGGTGGTTTTGTGTGGGCATGCAAGAATTATGATGGTGATGTTCAGTCTGATTCTGTTGCCCAGGGTTACGGATCACTCGGTCTTATGACTTCAGTACTTGTTTGTCCCGATGGAAAGACTGTAGAAGCTGAAGCTGCTCATGGCACGGTAACCAGGCATTACCGTATGTATCAACAAGGGAAGGAGACGTCCACAAATCCAATTGCGTCTATATTTGCATGGACAAGAGGTCTGTTGCACCGTGCCAAATTAGACGGAAACCGGGAGCTTAAGAACTTCGCCGAAACGCTAGAAGCCGTTTGTATTGAAACTATTGAAAGTGGCATTATGACTAAAGATCTTGCTATTTGCATTAAAGGCATGAACAACGTGCAAAAATCAGACTATTATGAAACTTTCGAGTTTATGAACAAGCTCGCTGAAAACTTGAAAACGAAGTTGGGAAAATGACTGTCTATTGAAAAGAAACGTAGTAATTTGTAATTTTTTTATAAACTCGTATCTCTATAATGTCACATCTATGGGAACATAAGGGTATTTTCTGTTATCTTAGCAACTTTTAATTATTTATTAATGAGCAATGTTATTAACAAATGATAATCAATTCTTATTTTATTAAATGGATTTATTTGATGTATATTTCTCTAGTCTTATTTGTTAACTTTATTTATAGGCATTTTGTTGAGTACTCAGCAACTGAATTAAACATGGTAATAACTTATTGTGGCACTAATTCCATTAGTATTGTGTATTATGTTGTGTGGTAATTTATTTGAACAATATATTATTTACATTTTTAAAAAGTAGGTATTACGAGTATTAGGTACGGTTCTACTTCTTTAAACAATTAAAAGGTCATGTAATCCCTAAGACGTCGGTTCTTTGGTGGTCACACATCTTATTAAAGAACAAATACAGTACATTACAATGCACTTTTATGCTTGCGATTGTGTAAGCAAGGAATATATTATTGTAATACTCTTATAGCATTCAACCAACCTACCAATTGGTTGTATGCTGTGAGTATATAATAAACTATTGACTAAAGTTACTGGCAATGTAATAGTTGTTGTAAGAAATCCTAATTCTGTAGGGCTAGCATGATAAGGCGTGACTTGTGCGAGAACGACATACAGCGCGCGATACTGCTATTCCCGCATAGAAATCACGCGCTCTATGTCGCTCTCGCGCAAGTCGCGCCCTATTGTGTTGGTCTCACTGCTGATTGTAAGTTAGAAAGAATATGTCCAGTTAATTATAATCTGCCATGTAACTAGTGCGTACCTATAGCAATATACTTGGACTTATAATAGTTGTTATATTACTCAAAACAAGCTCAAAGTTATTTGTTACAGTCAAAAAGTAGCATCTATTTTCAAATTTTACCTTTTTTTAGGATACGGGACGAGCAAATTTTGCGCCTGATGATAAGCGACACGCCTCTCCATGAGAGTTTATTTATTTATTTAAACAACACTTGAAAGCGTACAGTATTTAAGTTACCAAAACGCTTATAATCTGATTAAATTAAAAAATAAAATTGAGAAAAATTATATTACATAATTTAATTGAAAAACATTGCGCACAGTATGCTACCCACTCTACAGAACACCAATGCTCGAAAGGTAGTTCACGAACAAAAGTATCCCGCGTCGGATAACATACTGATTGTCAAAGAATATATTTAAATTCTGATGCTGGGTGAGCAAGTCGTTAAGGAGTGTAATTGCGCGCGAAGTAGGTGCGTTGTCAGTGCACCGCGTGCGCGAGGCAGTGCCACTGTTGGCGAAGAGGCGATACGGCCTGCGAGCACGCGCACTCGGGTAACGCAACGGCACGCCGACCAGGCCTAAGTGCGCCAACGCGTCCGAGTTGTGTACCTGATTCGTCAGCAACCAGACATAATGTATCAGCAGCGTTTCCTTTCTTCTTGGTACAAGTGTATCAGCCCCACCATGTCAGTAACAAAGATACGACGACGATAAGGCGGATACAAGAACGGATAATGCCCATAGAGTCGTTTATAAAGATACGTGCGAATTTACGCTGGATTCTTTCCAGCATTATTACATATTTTGCTTCAGAGTGATCCCATATTATAAAATTGTACTCCAGCCAACTGCGAACCAAGGACTTATATAGTGTCACAGCAATTCCAGGATCCTTAAACTGAGAGCCGACTCTCATAATTGACCCTAGTGTTTTACTGGCTCTGCTACAGGTGGAAGTAATATGTCGGAAGTCCAGGTTTGAAATCTATTGTCAATCCAAGACTGTTCATCGTTTGGACTCTCGTCATAGGTGTGCCAGTCAGGTGATAAGTAAAACACCACATGTAAAGCATAACGGCGCTAGAGTTGCACTGCCACTCAAGCGTTTTAAATCACAAAGATACCTACTACTGCGCCCGTCACTCTGAGACATACGTTGACAAGTCCCAAGTTCCTGTAATTTCACCAGCACCCTTACCCTTCAAAACCGAAATGAAGTAATAATGCTCATATTAATGTGCGGCGGCAGAAATAGGTAAGGTGCATAGTATTTCCCTGGGCGAATTTTTTCACAAGGTGCTCTAGTCTAGCTACTTCAATTTTATTAATATTTACTACTTTTCTTTTTTATTTAATATATTGATATAATTAAAATTATAATCTCAGCACAGAGTACTAAAAAACCGACCTCAACGTGGAATTACGTCTATTTGCTAAGTTTTATTGAAATATCCCCTCGTTCGCCACTATACAGGACTTGATACTGGAGATAATAAAAATTGGTGCTCACTACTCAAAGTATATGGAGAAAAAAACGCCTTGAATAGGAAAAATAGCAAAATCAACCATTAAAATAATTGCTCCTTAAGTAAAATTTAGACGCTATTTATAAAAATTAATCTTCATGCGTGAACATCCACCCTTAGAGGTGGATAATTTTCTTCAAAATTAAATAGGACCACTATGGAAGTACCCCCTTTCCAACAAAAAAAGAATCATGAAAATCGGTTCACAAATACCGGAGTTATCGCGTAACATACATACAAAAAAACATACAGTCGAATTGAGAACCTCCTCCTTTTTTAAAGTCGGTTAATTATCTCTTGAAAATTAATAGTGTAAAAATATTGGGCGTACTGTGTCCATAAAAATTCCAAATCGTTGATCTAGATGGCGTTACTAGTAACTAAACCTTTTCGTCTACTTACACACGTATATAGAAAAATATTTTTTCTTAGAGACATGCGCGCAACAATAACGCTTTTTAAGTGTTCTTGCCTGAATTCTAAAAAATCCATCTTCGACACGCTGGTTTCGGTACAATGAGACTTCCTGTACCGTAAAGTAAAGCAATTGATTAAAAACATAGAGCAAATGACATGATACAACGAGGTTTAGCTACGCAGGGACCCTCTAGTGACGTTGATACCATTATAAACGTCACTAGAGGGTGAGCGAGGTACAGGATATACATACTGTTGACAAAGTAAAAATAGTAATTAGGTAAGTAGAACTCTCTGCATTACTTTTGATACATTGCCAGGTTATATTTTACCATTTGCTATGGGTTGTGAGTTTGAAGCGTAGATAATAGTAACGATCATACCTGTTACTATTTTTATGTACTTTACGAGATAAACTCTTTTTTTAGTTTAATAAGCTACTTTAACTATTATGCAGGTTGGTTGATGAGATCTTCCTAAACTATTTTTTTTTAGTCAACCGCACCAATTGCCTGATTTCAAACGAAGGAATTCCCTGTACTATGAGTACCAGAGCAACGGAATTCATTCTAGGGCACTTACCAGAACACCCAGACAAGAACCAATTTAGAAAGTTTCCCAGTTTGGTCCTACTGGAAATCGAACCCGGGACCTCCTCTTCCAATGCCCACTGTATAAACCGTTAACCACTGACGTATTCGTTTACATGATCGTAAAAATCTCAAAAGATTTTCACAACTGAATAAGTCAGTTGATTTTGAATTTCGAATCTAAAGGAGTTATAAAGCGTGTGAAGTATAGACCAAACACGTGTGAAGGTGTGGAATGGGCTCCCTTTCTCGGTCCCTCCTGAAGTGTTTTTTTTTGCGTATGGAGTTCTTTAAAAAGCGAGAAAGCAGCGTTCTCAAAGTCTGGCAACGCATATAATATCTCATTTGGTGAAGGAATGTCCACAGGCAATGATGACCATCCCCCATCAAGTAGCTCATCTGCTCGTATGCTTATCTAAAAAAGTACCATACGATAGGGAAGAGTCTATGCCAATTTAAGAGTCAATACTACCTCAGTTCAAATTCAAATTTTGCTTGGGTCGGCACGGACACTTGGGTGGCTTTATTTCAGAATTATTTTTTTTACAAATGAAGTTAAAACCAGTTGAAAATGTATGTTGTATACGTGTTCTATTTAGTTCAGTTGATATTTAAAAAAACATTGGTATAGTACCTATTGAGTTCTCTTGTAAAATTTCGAGGTAAGTTTATGTTTTTTTTCTATTGTGAAAATTGTTTGGAATAGTGATTTCACACCGCAATCAGTGCATCTATATCCTTGATTTTTCTACATATTTCTGTCCAAAGTGATTGATTCAACACTCACTGTTATGCGGAGTCAACCAAAGCCATTTGAGGTAGTATACTCTCTTAACAGAAGCGATTTGGTCCTAACACTTATAAGTATGTTTTTATGATAGCAAACAACGGCAAGAACAAGTCGTGCGCCTGGCGGTAAGCGACACGGCTACCCATAATAGTTGCAGTGCTACGCAGAGCTTTAAATGAGAAAAGAAAGAAAGAAAATACATTTAACTGTTTACCAAAATGACACCACAAAAACAAAAAAAAAGAACACGGAACAAAATAGAACTAAAACAAAACACGATCAAAGCATTCAACGTAAAACATAAATAAATAATTACGAAACAAAAACACAAACGAAAAATGTATATACAAAAATTTGATAAAATTAAAACCGGAACTATTCACACAAATAATAAAAAGAACACTAAATATTGAGATACTTTGTGTGGTGCCAGCCACGGTAACAAAAGGGTCACAAACTCAGTATTTGCTGGAAAACGCAACGCGTTCCCAGCACTGATTTTCAGTTAGGTTAGGTTAGGTTACCTACCCTAAGTGAGGACACGGAACAGCATGAGCAAGCATACTTAAATATTGTACTTGAATATACCAATAAAACAATTATATTATATGTAGGTATTAAACTATAACAGATGTGTGTGTGGGTGTGGATGTTGTGTATGTTTAAATACTTCCAAATAATGTGTGTATAAGTATGAAAATACATTATAATAATTAATACATATACACTATAACTAATACCCTATACCTACATCAAGCAACTAATATATTATGTAACAAATGTGTATAAAAAGTATCAATAAATAGGTGCTGGAAAAGTTAACAGCATTCCTTTTGATAAATTTGCGCTTAAAAGCATTCCTACTAGAAGAGTCACGAAGGGGAGGGGGTAGGTCATTCCAGCACTTGGATGACGCAAATCTGAAACAAATCGCAAAGATCTGAGGGCACTGATGGCAGTGCTGACCCCCGAGACATAAAGTTGACAAATCCTATTAGCTTGTAATTTCACCCGCACCCGTCAAAACCAGAACACAGTAAATGTGGGCATTGCTGCATGCCGGCAGAAATGGGTATGGTGGCAGTACCTACTTCCCTAGACGAACTCTTTCACAAGGAACGATAAGGCTCTACTGTTACTAAATTCATGTTTTTTTTCAAATTGCTGACTTTTTTGAAAAACAATAAGAGATTCCATTCAAGTAAATGTTCTTACTTTGTTCAAAAACTTTTTTTTTCAACCTCTGTGTGATCAAAATTTTTCCACCTTAGTATTCAAACACATTGAAAGTTGCATAAGAGCGTACATACGATGGCAAACGTATACACAAAGTCTAGGCTAATTTTGTAAAAAATATTCTAATCCACCAAACCAAGAATATCGCGAATGGAAAAGATCAACTGAGTGCAAAATCCTGTTCACGGGAAGTGACTGTAACAATAGCAACCAGAGCGATGAAACTTTCTATGATATATGAATTTTCATATATCACTAGCTCTTTAGACAGGTATCATAACCACACTCGCCTAGAAAAGTTTATACTTATAAATATTTGGAATGGACTTGGATGAAATCGGAAATGACGAAATACTCGGAACCAACAAAATGTTCTGAATTGACGCTATACTCGGGTTTGAAACATTACCCCGAATAGGAAATCTAGGTATTATACCTACCCTAACTCCACTCGTATATGACAACCCACCGAGACGTAGTTTCATGCCTGTAAAATATAATGCACTGAAGACTTGGCCAATGCCTACCTGACTAAGAGTCGTATTCTAGAACTCTATTCAATGCTCAAGTCAGGATTGCACTGGCAACACAAGCACTGGAAATACGACCCTAATGGCAGGGACTTGAGTATGATTTCGAGTGCTTTGAATCATACTCAAGTCCTGACTTGAGCATTGAGTAGAGTTCTAGAATACGACCCTAAAACTACCAGCACTTCGCTGTGTGGTTTTAACTTTGCATTGTCATTAGCGCAAATAATTTTAAAACAACCATCAGAGGAATGCCCCGAGATTATCAAATTGTTAATTTCGAATGACATAAATATTTATTTCGATTTGTTTATAGATACAGATTGCAGGAAATAATAAATATTATTTTTCAATAATACAAAGAAAGACATCGATGAATCCGCATTTAAATCACAAATTAACACAGCCTTTTAAAAAAATGTACCTAATCTTTTGAAAGTATAGACATTTAAATTCTTTTAAAATAGTCAAGAAAAGATTAAACAACTAAAAATAGAAAACTATTTAAAAATAGTACGCGTTCTTTAACAGTTACCTGTACCAAGAGTAGAGTCATGTTTAAAATTGTCGCTGGAGCACATAATGAATAATAGTATGCATGTAGTCTCGACCATGACTAGTCGATATGAGTTTGTATCTACATAACGATATCAGAGAAATTCATTTTATTGAAGTTAAGCACGTACTTATGCGCTTAGATAGTAGGAGATTAACATCTCCAATCTCGAAGTCTAGACTTAATCATTTAATCGAAGATCAGCCAAGCGAAAAATGCAATAAAACTTGCAGCGCCAATTTGAAGCTAGCAAATTATTAAATTGACTATGAAGTGGATTGACTCCTCTGAGATTGTTTGGAAGCTCAACTTGAAATATTTATGAAGCTGAAACGAATTAAATATGAATAGGTCTGGAACAGTATTGGAAATTGTACCAAGTTATACGTGGAGTGAAATTAAAAATGCATTGATCTTCATTGGATGTAATACCTTTTGACGGCCTTTGACGGCCTTTGTTGGCCTAACTGTTTATATTGTGGGCGCTGGATGTGGAGGTCCTGGGTTCGATTCCCGGCAGGACCAAAATTAGGAATTGAACTTTTCTAAATTAATTCTGATCTTAGTCTTCCGAGAAGCGCTGTGTTCAAAAGCCTGTACCCCTTAGGTTTTTCAAATCATATGTGGACAAATTTGCTAATGTTTTAATAGTTACGTTGTTAGTTATAGTTAGTTGTTTAACTGGTAAGGGAAACGTAATCGTAAAGCCTATTATTCTTTTTTTTCTTGTTGGGTCGAAAATCAGGAATGTAATGCCGCGAAAGTCCGCGCCACTCAACCATTTTAAAACACCTCCGATTGAGATGGCCCCACTGTCGCCATACGTGCGAAAATATATTTCCTGCTTCTCGGTTTCAGAATATTAACGTTGCCCAGCTGACCTATACCATGGAACGGATATCGTATTGTTTTTGGGAATTCACACTTTTCAACTTCATTTGCAAACTAAAAAGCATTGAAGTTAGGGATCTATAGTAAACGTTTGTAGGAAATCGAATAAAAAATAACAGACCTGTTTTCTTAACCTAACTTATCAATCTAAAACACATTCCTTACCTACTTTTAAAAAGGAAACTTGATTTAAAGTAATAAAAAGAGGGTGCGATGTGATTTTAAAGCTTCTTACGATATAAAAATCGTTTTTACTTTTCTATTATTGCGGATCCCAGTGATGCGAGCCAGCAAATAACTTTTCTTAGTGAATTACCGGAGGCGGTTGGCGGTTTCCCCTACGAGAGCGTCCCTCCCTTGCTCCCTCTTTGGAGTGGGCCATTCAACGACGGTTCGCGAAGCTCTCAGTCTCACGGTGCTTTGCGTTGCTTCAGTTTGGCGGGTAAAGCGTTGCCTACCAGTCGTGCGTTGGGTGCATTCACAGCTCTACACTTGGCGGGAAACCCACGCGACCGCGAATTTTCATAGCAAACAGCTTTACAATAAACTAAAGTTTTATGTGTAAATCGTGAAAAACATTAAAATGGCATCAATTTGTTTTAAAACTTTGCGATGGCTCATCGTAATTAATATTGTTTTGGTAAGCGTTCTTGTTTATTTTATTTTTCCTTCTTAGATATTTTGATAGCACCAAATAAGGAGTTACTTTTTAAATACCAAAAGTGGGTTAGTACGTACTATACCATAATAACATAGGTAGGTTATAAAAAGGGACCCAAGTAAAGAAAAACATTCCAACGTATGCAATTTCTTATCAATTAACCAATATCTTATTAATTAATACATAATGTAAATATAAACAATTTTTTTGTTCCGTGGCTTACCGCATATCGTGGAAATAACTTGAAAAATGTAATTTGAGATACAACTCACATAAACTTCACTCTCATTTATTCAGGAAGTTCATTGGAGAGGTTTATACAATATGTCGATATTTAGTGAAATCACTAATATCTACGAGTAATTATGCTTAATTACCAACAATAATTATATATTTTACTTACACATTAAAAGGTTAAATTAAATACAATTACATATTCCATGAAGTAATGTGGGCTTCGCTATGATTGCGTGCAGCACAAACAAGTTCTAGTTAAATTTTATGGCTTCTTAAATATTACGAAGCAATGGAGTTTGTGATTTATATTAATAGACGAAGGCATTAACCATGTGTTAACCTGTACAAGGCATGGCGCGAGCGTTTAGAACCATTAACATACGATAAACATCGCGTCCAGTAACTGTAACCATTGCAACATCGGGCACGGGAGACCGAATCGATCTTCGCCCAGAAGCGGAGAGTCCGATTGCCGCAACGATGAACTTGCGGATCGAAATGCCATATACATCGAAGGGCGTTCCCAGATGCATACGCCGATCGAGAACCGCTAGCTTGCCATATCAATTACCCACTAGCGCCGGTCGGGTGCACCCAATTACTAGCTCTGGTTCACATGGTGCCTATTGAAAGCCGTCTCGGCATGCGCGGTCTCGAGATTGCTACTTGATTAAAAACCGATTCTTCACGAGAAGTAGAATTTTGCGTAGCATAATTGGGATAAAGTCCGCTCGTTACATGCAAAATGATAGTCTACTTCAATGATAGAGTCGGCAACATAAAATTGTTTCTAACTAGTATTTGGAGTGAGCGGTATATTTAAAGTAGAACAAAAATGAGTTTTTGAATTTTGCTTAAACATTTAACCTCAATATCGAAACCTAATTGTAACAATCTTACGTAAATGAATTTCTTCTTACAGGAATATCTACATTTAATAAAACAAACTTCTTGATTTCGATTTCGAAACCTAAATCCGTGCATAACATCAAAAGATCTTGACACTTTGACTGTAGTATAATTTTGAATTGATGTTTAATTCAATGAACCAGGTCCAATGTTGCCATACAAACAGTTACCGAGACATATCCATTACGGTCAGTTTGTTCGGTGCCCGCCTGCTGCGATGCACGGAATTTTGATTAAAGTTACATAAGAATGATTGCATTGGAAGAATCCATCTATATAGTCACAGTGGCTGGCGCGTGGGAATAGTCTCTGGTAATTAGGGAATACCGGGAGCAAATACGCTCAATTACCTCGCTTTTCTTTGTTTTTGTTGCATCTCTCATTGCCGATTCAATAAAACCCCCGCTGTTAACATTAAGTGAATCTCTTCCATTCCGAGACGAATCAAGTTCGGAAATTTTACCAGATCATTTGTTCGACGCTTTCAATGTTTCACGAAATGAAATTACTTTTTAATAGCCAAAGTAAACAACCAAACCGTTTTCGTATCTCTTTAATGTTCATTTCTCTAAACATTTCATTTTCTGTTCTATTTTCACACAAAAGATTCTAACTAATGTTTTTTTGAGTGTAAAATTAAAGGTCTGACCACATTTGTGCAAAAGTAGAAAAAAAAAACCACGTGTCAAACCAAGACTGATATTATATGAGCTTATTTTATGCAATATAGGTGGCAGACGAGAAAACGAGGCTCTCCATGAGAGGTGGTAACCGTGAAATATTTATTTTATTCATTTAGTTTATCTAAACAGGAAATGCTTTCAGAAAACAATATTTGCTCTTTTAAACAGTATCCTTGTTATCTTGGTAGTTAATGGAGAAGCAGAAATTTATCGGGACAGGTGTTAATTTGCAGAAGTGCTGGCAATTAATGAAGAAACAAAAGTCCACTATGTTCCACTTTCACAAATATACAAATTATAGACACGAGTCATTCACTTTACGAAGTGGAGCAAATTTTATAGTCTTTTATCGCAATTAACAAATCTATACTTGCAGATTAGTTGCGCGTTAACAAGAAATGAATACAACTGACGCGCATTTTTTCTTTTTTATGTACCATACCATTAAAGTGACGGGACGAACAAATGTGCGCCTGCTCGTAAGCGACACGCTTGTTCATAGTACCTACAGTGTCATTCAGGGCTTTAGATCGTAAAGATCTGAGGGGCACTGCCATTGCGCGCGTCGCCCTAACACATGTCCCATGTGTTTAATTTCACCAGTACCCTTCAAAACCGTAATGCTCGCATTACTGCTTGGCGGCAGAAATAGGTAAAGTGGCAGTACTTCCCTGGATGAGCTCTTTCACAAGGAGCTCTACTGCTTCTTTCTTTATTGTTAGACCCACTCAATAAAATATATCTTTGGGCTAATTTCAAAGAATTTAAATATGTTTAACAAGTCTCTTTTTAACCTTGTTTAATAACTGATGCGTGACATACCATATTAGATAGATAAATCATTGCGAATCACGCGCATCGTTGCCTCTATGAACATAGTGAGAAAGTGATTAGCAAAAAACGGCAAAAACCATATAATGTCATGTGTGCTTGCCGCTGCTCGATGTCAACGACCTAATCCAATTAAAGTTACATAATAGCACACTTTTTTCACAAATTAGATTGCTTTTTTCCTGAACGTTATCCAATTTAAGATACAACTGATAGTGTCAGAGAGTTATAAAGAGTTTACGAAGTAACGTAGAGCCCGTTGTCCCTAAGTACCTAGTTAGAAATGTCAACAAAAAACCATCTTAAGATGAGTTTGTTGATCTTTCACATAATCTTGTGCATCCACACCCTAGTCCCTGCTTTTTTATTGTACTTTACATCGGCAGTAAATATTTATCATAGAACATTATTGACAGTGTGCCGGTGTGTAGATATTAAAAGCAAAGACACATAATATAATAGGAGTTCAATAGCAACTTCTAAAACGATCTTAGATTACAGTGATTAGTAATTAACATTGCATTACCTCATCGTTTGTGAAAAATATCATTGTTTACCTTCATTGTGAGATGGGCAAGTTTTTCTTGCACAAAATCTACAAGAAGACAAATACAGACTTCATCTAATCGACAATAAGAAGTTAATTATCCGTTAATCATTATTTTGTGATGTAAAAGATTACACTTACTTTATTATAACGCAATAAATCGCGCAATAGGATATGTTCGAGTAAAGATGCCACATGCCGAGCGAGTTGTGGGCCAAAATTTGGACTCCTTTTTCAAGGACTGACCAGATGTTTCCTAAAACTGGGCTCAATCGAAAAAGAAGGGGGCCTTTGCCCGGCTGTGAGACTTTTACGTTTAATCAATAATAGTTTTTGTACTCAGAAAATGACAACGCAAAGCTTACATATTGTTAATAGTATAATAAGGCTTTTAATGAGCGTATAGTGCATAAATATCTAACCAATTTATCAAAGCTGTTTGTAATAAGATTTTATAGGTAACTGGGTATGTTTTGTTCAATTCAGGTTACTTAGTTCCGGTCTTTGTGTGGTCAATTAAAGTTGTTAATAAATAGTGACGATACTTTTCTTCCTGGTAATTATTTTTGTCCTATTAAACATCTTAGATGTGCACCTAGACTTTGAATATGTTTTTACATTTACCAATATTAATGTGTACATTGATGTTTGTTTGTTTGCAATTTTTTCAAAATTGATAAATTTTATGTTGTACAAATGATGTTTTAAAACATTGAATGTTCACAAACGATTAGCCTTTATGATAATACATAACTCAGCAAATTATGCCGACGAGTTTCAAATGACATACGGATGTTATGAATGTAGTTAGAATGGAACCTATATACAACACAAGGAAATATAAATGTTCTATAACGGTTGCAGAATCGCTTGTAAATTAAAGAAGCGGAAACAATAATCTTTATTGCCCACTGAAAGAAATGTTTATTAAACTACAAAACGAAAGTACAAGTACCTACATTTAGTGTATTATATTCTCAAGGCATATGTTTTGCGGTCAAAATCAATTCCTCAACGCGTTGATTGCCTGCTAAAACCATTTTCGTAGTCAGTACATTATGGTCAATAGGTCCATAGTCCCGTTGGCACGTGGTATATTATACCGTCGAAATTGGGAAATTGTTTCCGTGGTGATAAATTATTTTTGGTGATTCATCGAATGTAATATTGGGCAAGTTAGACAGAATCGAAGAAAGTTCAGGTCGTTTAGTTGTGGAGACTAATATTGCCCATGTAACGTGCGGTAAATTGAAACAAACCGGTTAAACCGTTCGTTACACATTAACATGGTTATGTTCAAATGTTAATATATGAAATTACGGCAATGATTACTGCTATTAACGGTTATCAAAGTTCAGACTCATTGTGTAGTCTTTTGTTTATTTTCCAAATTAACAGAATTTATTAAATCAAGCCTATTATTGTCCAAATTGTTGTTTGTCTTCATATAAATATGACAAAAGATTGCTAATCATCCAGAGGAAATGAAAAAGAAACCTGCACGTCAGAGAAAGTTGATAAAAACTTTTCGATTGTGAAGTTGCCTTCTCGCATTGCGCCTGCGTGATGCACTATCACGACAAACCAAGAAAATAAAAGTCATTTACTTGGACACGCGCCTAAGCACGATCTTCGAATCGTCAACTTATTATGATAGAGACGTAAATCGTATTAGTTGAACTCAAAAATATGGGGAAATGGACAGTTGTCGCCATGATGGAGAGGTCACGTATGTCGCTTGGCAAGAGACGGGAAAATATAATGTATAATAT